CAGACTGTCACCCTTAGTGACAAGCACCAAATCCATTAATTTACTTCTAAATCAATACAAATATTAGAAGCTTATTTATTTATTTATTTATTTATTTATTTATTTATTGTAGGCTTATTTGTTTTAGCTATTTTATTCGGGTTCTTTTTATACCTCTACCTTCCTTCCAACCCTTATTCTACCCTAATTCTTTCACTGGGCAGGTATTTCTACCCTAATACCTCAACACTGGGCAGGAGAGAAAGAAGGTTAGAGGGGAATGAGGACGTATGGCTCTTTAACTACTTCCTCCTGAATAGAAGCATTGATTTCCTTGGGGCAAGTTCAGTCTTTGTCTAGTTAGGATATCTCCAACTTCTCATGTTTTTTTCTCTTGACCATCATCATCATCAGCAGCAGCGTGAGCAGGAATCGGCAGGAGGAACAGCCTTGCCTCCTTCTTCTTCAGAGCTTTCTAGTTCCTCTGTGGGCTCTGGCATTTATTCTGTCTCAAGAGGTATCAGAATTAAGCTCTCTGCAGCTGGCAGAATCATGCCCCTGCCACGGCACGCATGAACCAGATAGTCTGCTGCCATGGACAATCTAAAGCCACTTCGTATCTCACACCTGGGATCGAAACAAAAACATGTTTATATAACATAATTGGGTTTTTAAAGAAACCCAAACTCTACAGTTCTCTTATTGTTCTATTTATCTATTTAGTGTGTGTTTGTGTGTGTGTACATGCACAGGTATATGGAGATTAAAGGTCAATGTTGGGTGTCTCTCTCAATTTCTCTCTGCCTTACCTTTTCATATGGCTCTCTCACTAAACCTGAAGTTCCCTGACTAGAATAGACACACTAGTTTGCAAGGCCCAGGAGGGATCTGCTTCAGCATCTGCTTCCCCAGTGTTTGGTTGTAGTTGTGTGTCGATGTGGTCAGCTTTTTACGTGTGTGTTTTGGGGGTTGAACCTAAATCCTTATGTTTATGTGGCAAGCACTTTACCAACTGAGCATCTTTCGATTCCCTGTATGTTTCGTTTTTTGGTTGATTTACATATTATCAACATATAAAATAAGCTTATGGCATTGCATAATTGTCTAGAGGCATATACCAAGACAAAAATTGGGTGTTAGCTCTAATTTAGCTCTGTAAGAGACATAGTTTTCTCTGTTTTAATATTCCAGTTTGTTTTTGGTTGACTAGAGGACAGGGACGTTGGAGAAGATGGAATTGTGGAACTCCTTAGGGCTCTGTCATAAAGGGCTTTCTGCTGAGACACTCAGGCTTTATCCAAGAGCAACTGGGAACCATGCAGGGTTTTAATTAGAGACGTGACTTGAAGCATGCTTGTGATGTGGAGATGTGCTGTGGCTGCTATTTGGATGCTATGTTGGATTGAAGGAGAATTAGAAAGAGGGGGTCTGGCTTTGGAGGCAGTTGCGGTAACTTAACAAAATGCTAATGGTGACGGACAGGGCATGACATGGTAGGAATAGATGAAGAAACCATCTGTGGAAGATGCAACCATAGCACACATTTGTATTTCCCTGAATTCTGGGTAGGATTTCAGGTCATCTTCTATAACAAAATACCAGAGGTTGGGTAGTTCATAAAGAAAAGGGATGCTTATTTAGTTCCTAATTCTAAAGGCTGGACCTACTTAGCTTCCAGCAAGGACCACATACAGCTTGTATTATGGAGAAGCAGAAGGCTTAGTGCTTGTATGCAAAAGGATCCCAGTGTGTGGGCCACCTTCTTTGACAACAACCTCTTATCTCAGCAGGCAAACCAGTCTCCAGAAAATCAGAATTCACCCTCATGAGAGGAATCTTAGTTCCCAAATGGCTTAAGATATTCATTTATTTTTCATCATGTGTTTGTGGCATGTGTGTTCCCATATGTGTGGCATGGAGACCAAAAGGAAGATTGCTCAGTCGTCCTATATTAGGCCATTATAAATCCAGGCAAGGGGCTCCAGGATGGAATCTTAATTCAAGTTATAGGTTTTGGATGCATGTGTATACAGATGGTATATGAATTCCAGAGTTGCTGGAATAGAAAGGGTATAGGTTTATGGACGGAACTCCAAGGAACTCTGATACTTGAGAAATAGCAGAGACCCCCATGAAAGCTTCAGAAGAGGGGTAATTAGAGGCAAGGTGAGCAGCAGTGTTGTGTATCAGAAAAGCTAAGCCAGGAGGCACAAGAGAGGACTGGACTGTGGTGATAGTCACTAGAGTCCATCTTGGATTACAGAAGACTTTGATGGGGTTTAGCAAAGAAAGTATTGAGGCTTCATAAAATCTAGAACAACTTGCATAGAGATATATGTTAGGGTGAGGCGGCACCAAATGCTTAATATAAATGGTTGTTTTTCTCAAGACCAGTTATGGGAATTTTTATGACACTATTTTAGCATCACATTGATGTTTTATGAATATGGCCGTTTTACAGAAGACCAACCATGGAGTCAGTACTTGAGTGGACATTTAATACATTCACAATACTCTATGAGAATCTTTATCTAGTCCTACAATATTTCCAAGACAAGAACTCTACTCTCAAAGCAGTTTATATACAATCCTTCATTCCTCAGGGCCTGGATATATAGCTTTTTTTTTTCATTATAACATTCTTATTCTGAATACTTTATATAAATGGAATCAAATAATATGTGACCTTTTGCGGCTAAAATCTTTCACTTAACATAATATTTTCACACCTTATCCACACAGCATCTGTCAGTCTTTCATGGGGTTTATGGCTGTATATAATATTTCTCTGTGTCGATTTATCACGGTTTGTTTATTGATGGTCTTTTCATTTGTTTCAGTCTGTTGCCTGTTCTGAGTGCTGCTTCTGTGACTGTGAATATATACCTGAGCGTCTGAATGTGGTTCTTTTGGATATGTTTCTAGCAATGGAATTGATGGAACCTGGGTTTCCCAAAATTATATTTATGCATATAATATAAAATATCAACTCATATATTATACACTCCTTGAATTTTTTTTAAGATGTGTTGAGTTAGGTATTTAAATGAAGGCTGCTGGATGGGCCGGCTGTCTATGTGATGGTGGCCCTGCTTAGCTCAGGCTACCATGTGCCTCAGCCTAAAGCCAAGTGCTCTGCAGCTGGAAGCGGCCAGAGGCCATGTGGGCACCACAGCTAGAAACGGCCAGCCAGAAATACCAGCCCTGCCACTCATGAGATGCCAGCATGGGAGATGGCTCTAACAATCTTTCATGCTGTTTCCACAAGGCTGGGCTGAGCCCAGACCATCCCACCATCCATGGAGTCCCGGTAGAAAATGCTTGGATTCTAATGCTTGGATTATTCAAAGGCTTTATATGTATGGTAATGCTCAATAACAAGATGCCCACACAGTCAGAGGTGTAACCCAATACCCAACCTAGATATATCACCTACTTTTGACTGCTAGAGCTGTGATCACTTCTCCTTCCATGTTCCCTTCTTTCTGGTCCTCTCTCCTCTGGCTCCTCCTCTTCCTTCTCCTCTTCCTCTCCTTACTCCTCCCATCTTAGCTCCTCCTACAAAGATGAGATTGATGAAGCCACATGTAGTGACTAAATAGCCTATTAAGAAACAATATATCTATACATGCATTCAGTATATGGATGTGTGTATAAATATTTTAAAGAGAGAAGTTCTCACTAGTACAGAGTTTTAATTCTCATAAGGGAGAACATGCAGATGCATACTTGGATAAATCTAGTCTTGTAGGAGGTAGAGGCTAGGAATGGAGTTGGCTATTTCAGTTTAATTTTTGAAAAGAAAGGATAAGTTGATTTCTCAGTGATATGGGACTGAGTCAGAGAAACAAAGTCAACTAAAGTCACCCTGGGACAAATTTAATACCTAGCTGATTTTAAAATTAGTACTCTGTCTTCAAAATAAAATTTTATCCATCTCCTAATATCTGCCACTTCACTTACAGTTTGATTTTTTCATTGTGTTTCTCTGCTCAGGGATGTCAGTGAGTATGAAAAGAGACCAGTGCTCCATTTATGACAAATGACCCAACTTCTTTGCAGACCATCTCAACTTTATTCATATAGTCAACTGGTTCATAGAGAGGTGGGGCCTTGATCACATTTCCTGTGAAGAGTTTTGTTTTTGGGTCCTGTCTCCTTTGTGGTCCAATGACCCTTTTACAGGGGTTGCCTAAGACCAGCAGAAAACACAAATATTTACATTATTATATAACACAGATTCATAACAGTACCAAAATTACAGTTATGGAGTAGCAACGAAAATAATTTTATGGTTGGGGGTCACCACATCATGAGGAACTGTATTAAAGGGTCACGGCATTTGGAAGGTTGAGAGCCACTGATTTAAAGCAACATGCCTCCTGTGTCATCCGAAGTGTCTTTCTTTCCTGAGGACTCTCTTCTATAAGAACCAACCCATGACACTATGGTTTCACAAGCTGTGGCTCTGATTGGACGCTGCCTACAGACTTGGGGAAGAAGATCATCTCTGTTGAGTGTCTGTTAAGTGTTCCATTTATCCCGGCTTGTTGACATCCTGACAGCCAGTGAGATGTATATCTGAGGGTTTGCCAACCTCAAGGCCTGGGTTCTGTCCACCATCTCAAGACTGCTAACTAGATTTTATCTCCTGTGCTTGTGGCTCACCACACTTGTGGGGGGAAAATGAGCCTCTAGGCTCAACAGGAAGCAGGACGTGGGTGGGTTAACTTTGTGGGTTTGATGAGGACAGAAGTGGGACAGGGACAGGGCCTGTTGTATATGTATATTGACCATCCCTAAGTTGTATCATGTCATTTCTTATAAGAATATTCTGTTTATGTTTCTTAGAATATTAATTTTTCCTATAGATGGAGTATCAAAGTCCATGGCTAGTTGATACTATTTCATGGACATTCCTGTGGATTCTACTTTATTTCATTTCTGTCCTCTCTATTTGTTGTCAGTATGCCAAAGGCTAGGATCTCAGCGTTTATTAATGTGTGTGTTATGTGTTTCAGGCAGAGAAAGCTGATGGATTTGTCAACCTGTCAGATTTCACAGTGGAAAGAGCCTCTGAATGCAAGAAAAAAAAGTGAGTTGTACTTCCCTTGCCCCCACAAAGCCCTGGTCCAGGAGTGTAGCTATTTTCAAAGTTCAATTAGCAATGGGGTGATTTGTAAGTAGGACGCAGGTAGAACTCAAATGTCTGGGCATTTTGAGCATTGTGAGTTGGAACTTTTTAAGTATATGCTTATAGAAAGTCTACATAGAAAAGTTTTACTTCTCATTTTCTGATATGTCCACCTGGGGGATGAATGGTTTTTAAATCACCCAATTCCAAAGGCAGGGGAATTGATGTCAAGGTTTTGACCTGGTAAATAACAAATAGCTAAGCAGGGGTCACCAGACAAAAATGCAGACCCTACAGCAAGACCAGATCATCTTGGCTCATGGTATTATGACTACTAGCCTTGCCATTCGGTGCTCTGATGTGTTTAGTTTGGGATTGCACCCTGCTGTAGATGAAGTGTGAGCAGAGATGGAAATGAAGGAGGCACCAGATCATGCTTTTTGTTCTGCTTACAAGCACTGAGCCTATAGCGTCTGGAAACAGCTCAGAGCTGCCTGGAAAGCTGCATATACACTCTGGTCTCATGATCATTTCAAGAGAGCATCCGACTGTGACTTACTTTTGTGTCTTCCCTCATCTCTCTCTTCTTTCTTCAATATCTTGTCCCATATTATCGGAAAGGGACATTTCTTCACAGATCAGCAATGAGTTGTTGTCTTAGGATCCAGTGTTAGCTTTTATTCTTTGTAACAGCTGTATTTTGCTTTGTATTGGTTGTGTTGATACTCTTGATTTTTTTATTGGTCACTAAACAAACAAATAAACAAACAAACAATTCCCAAGACCTAAAACTCTGTCCTGCTCTGTAGACCTTCTGGTGTGATAAATTTATCACCACCTGGGTCATAAATTTCCTTTAACTAACATCTAGTTCACACTTTTCCTTTACCAATACAGATTCCCTCATCTGTGGCTTCTGAAGAGTCATGGGGACATGGAAGTTGCATACCTGACTGTTTTCCTATAAATAAAATGCCACTGTATATTTGGTTGAATATAAATAATATCTTGCTAGAATGAGTAGTTTCAAATAATGTTAAGTGACAACTCAGGGGCTCTTGAATTTAATTGCCTCTATTTAGTTAAATAGCAGGTGAAAAAAGACACACACAGATACGCAGACACACCTACACACACACACACACACACACACACACACACACACACACACACTTACACTTAAGTGGAAACTCTTTAGTGGCTAAAATGGAGTCCTGACATGATAAATTGACTCTCACTTTACTAAGTGAAGTCAGGACTATCTAATAGGTATTTAATATAACAATTACTTTAAAAACACTAATACATGTGTGCTTTCTTTCTTCTAGTGCTTTTAAGATCAGTCACCCACAGATCAAAACCTTCTACTTTGCAGCAGAGAATTTGCAGGAAATGAATGTGTAAGTAGATGAAACCAGTGTGCCCATACCAGTGGGGGTGAAGAGGGGGAACTCACTTTGGTCTGACATTAGAGTTTTAAGCCAATGGTCACACCAGTTGCTGTCCTATTCATTTTTGTTAGTTAATCTTGTTCTGTTAGTTAATTTCTTTAGCAATTATGAAACCACTTTGCTTTCTTCTCTAGCATTTGTAGCCCTTTGGGGGAAGCACACTTATCCAAATGGCTGTTTTAGGAAGTAGCTGTGAGAGTCTTCTAAAGGAGCCAGTGAGAGGAGAGAGTAGCTGGACAGAGACCATAAGATGAAAATTCACATTCCAAGAAGGACCTGAAGGAGTCTTAGAACCAGGGTCACATGAAGCTGCCTTGAGACATCGAGGATATCCTACTAGCCTAAAAGGCCTGTTCTTGGTGTCTTTAAGACTATCATATAATAGCATAGTCTAAGCAGCATCTATAGTGTGCCCCATTGCCAAAAATGCTGGGTGATAACAATAGATACCCTCCACCTCCATAATCCCTCCATTCATAGAGTTTATACTGAGACTCGGTTTTCTATTTGAACAAGGTAATTTCCTTGTTTATCTTCCATACATAATCCTTCTTTGCCATCTTGTTTTAGAAAGCTAGATAAAATAGGTGCTACCTTTCATGACACACCTCCCATCCCCACTTCAGGTCACCTCTTCTGCAGCACTGCCTAGCTGGGGACCTTCTCATTTATAATAGCCAATTAGCTTACCCTCACCTCATCTCTTCAGATGAGGACAAAAAGCTCACAGGAAGCGGGGAAACCATGGTTAGCTATCGGGGAAGGAATTGACAGGTATGTCCTCCAAATATATCTTTGATAGACAAGAAGAGTGTCTGTTTCTACACTCTGTCTGGTTGTAGCTCCACCCTTGTGTTTATCAAGCATGAGAGAGAGGGAAGGAGGGAGAGAAAGAGAGAGAGAGAGAGAGAGAGAGAGAGAGAGAGAGAGAGAGAGACAGAGAGAGACACACAGAGAGAGAGAGAGAGACAGAGAGATACAGAGACAGAAAGACAGAAAGAGAGGTGGGGGGGAGACACATCAAAAGAAAGGACTTATACCCCTCAAAGGTCAACACTCATCCCTGTATGGCACTGTGACTCAATCCAGCTGATTTGCAACGACACAGTCTGCAAGCATCCAGAAGAGTGTATGTAATGCTCCTGCTTAGAAATACTTACTTACAACACAGAGATGGTGAATGCTAACCTGAGTCACGGGTGAGGTTCACAGGGATGGCTCTGGTCTGTAGCAGCAGGGAGACATGGCTACCCACCATCCCACCATGATCACCCCTTTAACAGTATCTTGGGCTTTGTGTATCTTCGGTTTTACCTGTTAGCATCTTTCCCACCCATCCTGGGGCTGGTCTTTTCAAAGTAGTTTTCATCTTCTCAACGAGGGTGTAGTGAGAGAGAACATCCCAGAGAAATAGTCCTTTGGAGTGCTTTGTTGCCTGGTGAGTGACTCCTACACAGCAGAATATAGTTCCTTTCAAGAGAAGGTTAGACACTTATGAGATTATTGGGATCCATTGTGTTTCAGGCACTTTAAGTCACACATCAAGGTTACTTATCTCCCTGTTCCTGGCTCCCACTGGCTCAGCTTCTGTTTCCATCTTTACTCTTTATCTTCAGGCTTCCCCCACCCCTTCATGGATTGCTATTTACTGGCAGGTCTTGTGTGCATTTTATTGATAGATACCTTTATCTTATTGGCTAGTAACTCAATACCTGTCAACCACAATCAAGGTCAAATCTCACTGCCAGTCTGTGTAATGTATCCTTTCACAACTAATAAACAAGACATAAGTTGCAATTTGAATTTCTTGCATCCTGGGCCCTCACTTTGAACCCCTCCAGTTATCTTTATGCTTTAGAGGATAATTTTAATCATAGTCCTTAAATTGCTCACTTCGCTACTCATGATGTCATAGTCCATTTCGTCTGCGCCTGGATACATGATGATTTCTTATATCTGAAAAACCATTGTCTCAGTTTCACTTCTACTTCATCATAAAAGATCCTGACAAAAAGCAGTGTAGGGAAGAAATGGTTAATTACACTTAAAATTCTCAGTTACAGTCTGTTATTGTGACAGAAGGAACTTCAAGCATCATACCTGCAGTCAAGGGCAGAGAGAATAAGTGCTTGGATCATTGCTTGTTTGCTGTCTTATGCTTAGCTAGTGTTCTTCTTTCTTATACAGTTCAGGACTAGAGCCAAGGGAATGGTGCTTCCCACTATGGGATGGGTATCTCTACATCAGTAACAATCAAGACAATGCCCCCAGAGACAAGCCCGACCTGATGTAGGCAATGCCCTCCATGAGATGTTCTGCCCTGGTGATTCCAGGTTGTGACAACTTTATGAAGCTAATCATCACAGCCATTACTGGGTTTTGTTATTTTTAGTGCAACACTTCCAATAGTCAACAAGGACCACAAGTTTGTCCTTTCTCCTACAAGATTATGTAGACGATACCTAGAGGTTTATCTTTAATGACACTTGAAACTCTTCCTTTGCTCTTGATGGAGCCTGTTTAAACTAGTCACTAATAGAGCTAGGAATGACTTGGTGGGCAGGGAAGAAGTTGGGGGAGGGAGAGGATGGGTAGTGATTTCAAATTTCCATCATTCAACTCTTTGGCTAACTACAACTTTTGGTGGGTATAAACTGAAAACTGTTGGTCTTCTTAAAGTGAACCATGAAATATATTGTATTTTATCTGATTTATATGCCTTAAACTTTTGTGGAGCACACATGTTCATGTGTGTGCGCATATGTGTGCATGTCCATGTATGTTTGTGTGTATACGTGTGGAGGATGGTGGCCAACCCTGGGTGCCTTTCTCTACTAACTATACCTTATTTTGTAAGATGTTATTTCTTACTGAACATGAAGCTCATCACTTTGGGTGAACTGTCTAGCCAGTAAGCCTCATCATGGATCTGCCTGTCTCTGCCCACTACCCCAGTGTTAGAGATACAGACTAGTGCCACTGTTTACCTCTTTATGTGGTACTGGGAATCTAAAATCAGGTCTCCATGCTTGTGTGGCAAACACTTTATCCAAGGAACCATCTCCCAAGTCTCCTACTCTATAATCTTAAATGTTGGTTAGGAAATACATGAAACATCTTGTAAAAAAACAAATGACATAGAAATAGAAACACATGGGCTTTTGGGCTCTTTCTGCCTTCCATTCAGCTTCTTCCCATGGGTGATCCACATTTGACAGTCTGATGCTTTTCCCTCTTTACACTGTGTGCACCAGTTCATGCAAAGGTGTGAATGCTTCAGTTTTATAGAAAATTAGGACAGGCCAAACATATGGCCCTGTACTTTTTCCCTACTAACAGTATCTTCATAATAGTTTTTTCTGAGTCATAAATCCCTTTATGAATATTTTTATTAGCTTCATTATAACACAGCATTCTTATTAATGGACAATTATTAACTGTTGTAGTAATAATTAATATTAGTTGGGAAGTTTCTATCCTGTCTTTGATCATTCAGTTCCCAGATAAAAGATTTAAAGCCTTTAAATTTATAATAAGCTTTTATCAGCATTTAGAGTCAGGCAGATATCAACCCTCTATGGCTATTTTGTCTACTTTCCTGTAAATAACTCTAAGATGTAACTTGCGATGTTCCACCTGGGCAGCTCTTACTCTGACTGGCCAGCCCTCAAGGCCAATTCTCCTGATCCCTTACTCCACAGCATCTTCTCTCTGTCTAATTCCCCCCTCCTCCCAGACCTCAAGCCCAGGAACCAAAGCCCTGCCTACCTCTCTTCTGCCTGGATACAGACTGAAGGCATATTTATTCAACCAATAGTTTAAACTTAAGTAGCAAGATTACATAGCATCACTCGGTGAACACGAGGATCTCTTTACCCCTGAGACAACCAGATCTTGGGGACCAGTATTTAGCTTACAGTATGTAGCAGAAGATCAAACCTCAACAATTAACAATTAGCACAGGGCTTTTTTTCTTTCTACTGTTATAAGCCTTATATTTTTTTCTACATAAATGTGTGCTTTTTTTCCTTTCAAAACAGATATTCACAATTAAAATTACTAGGCCAAGAAGATATATATTTAAAATTTGAATGATATCATCAAGATGCCTGCTCAAAACTATCTCTATTATCGTGTTTAGCTCAACAATTGATTCAGATTTTTATTTTCCATTCTTTCCTTAGACACAAATAGCATTTCCAATGCCTGCTGGTCCTTCAGTGAAAAATACCTCCCCATATCTAGATAACACAGTATTCAAATGAGCAGTGTGTGTGACCCAAAGTGGAGAAGTTTCTACACATCTTCACTAGCCCTTGTGTGCTCTGACCCTGTTCTCTTATCTGTTATCATTTAGTGACTAGATAAACATTCCTGCCTACCTACAGCATGGTCTGTGCCTTAGTGTTGGTCCAATCTAGTGGCCGTTAGAGAACTTGAGTCTATTGTGGAACTAATGTGAACATCTTTAAGGAGACTGGGCTCATTACCCATCTTGTACAGATTCTCATCTTGTCTAATACAAAAACTATATATATATATATATATATATATATATATGTGTGTGTGTGTGTGTGTGTGTGTATTTATATATATATAATATAACATATAATGTATAACATGTAATATATAATAATATATTTTACATAATGTATAATATGTAATACATAATAAATGTATAACATATATCATATATAACATGTAACATGTAACATGCAATATGTAATATATGATATATGAGATATAATAAATATATACCATATACTATACTGTATATAATATATAACACTATATTATACATAATATATAACATGTAATATATAATAAATATATAGTGTACATTTAAATAATTATTTAAGTGACAGATGGCCGGAACTGGTCTGTGGGTAAAATAGCTTCCCAGGCAAACCCCATGCTCTGAGCTTAACACCTAGAAGCCACTTACAGGAACAATGAGAGACCTGAGTCCTAAAAGTTGTCTCCTGGCTTCCACATGTATAATGCACCTGTATAATGACAATAAATTTGAAAAATTAAAGAGATATAGCTTTGATGGTCAAGTGGCTGAATCGGATGACCAGTAGCTTGATGATGACCAAAGGCTTAAAATACATAATTACTAAGGAAGACATATTTGTTCATGTAGTTAGAATATCTTTCTTAGCTTCCTTCCTTGACCACTGGATGATGTCTCACCCCACTTCTTTTATAATGTAGACCCTTGGAAAGCCAAGCATTGTGAAACCAGAAATCTTAGGTCTCCATGTCTCAAACTCATGATGCTTTAGGAAATACTCAGTGTAGAATTAGGACTGAATTTTATGCAAAATCTGATACAGGAAGCAGGTTCAGGGTCTAAGGGGAGTGGATCAGGGGGCCAGCTGACCGTTCAAACATTTACTTTCCATTTGAATCTTAGGTGGTTAAACAAACTTGGATTTGCCGTGACCCACCAGGAATCCACCGCAAAGGATGAAGGTACATTCTATTTTTATATTTCTGAAATTTTAGCAAGAATATTAGGCTAGAACGAATCAGGGTGAAGGAAGAGACAACTCGTTCTATGTATAGGCACATCCTGGGGAAACAGTCTGGCATTTGAAATGATCTCAGAGGGACGGAAAACCATCTTCACACAGCCTCACCATGGAGCCTGGTTTCCCATGCCGGCTCGAAGTGACTTCACACTTCACCCACACTTGAGCAGCTGCAGGCTTCACTGCTACTCTAGCAATTGCCAATGCAAATGTACAGTGCCCTCCTTACGGAGTTCTTACTCATGGGCCTGCGTGGGTCACCGTCTAGTCAGATGCATCTCATCCCACCATTTCCTATGACAACTTAACCTTTCCACCAGCTGAGTGTTGACATCAGCTACCTTGAAATTGTTCTCTGAACCTGACGATCAGCCTGAGAGGCACACCATCCCCCTCCCCTCCCCTCCACTCTCTTCCTTTTTGGGCTGCACAAGCCACAGGTGCATGCATCTTCATAACGTCACTTAGCCATTAGTGTGGGGAATAGAGGCTGCAGGTGCCAGGGCCGCCGACAGATTCTGGCGTGGAAATGCTTAGATTATGGGACACTCAGTGACTGTAAGGAGAAATTTGTATACTTAGTTACAAAACCTTGAATTTAAAAATGAAAATGTGGTAAATTTGAACCAATCAGGGAAGTTCATTACAGTACTGTGCATTTGCCATCTAACTTGTTGGTTCTGTTTCCTATGAGGTAAGCTTCCATTGTTATCAACTGGGGAAGGCAGACCCATATAGAAGACTCTGTTTTTAATTAATTAATTAATTAATTATTAATTAACAAACTAACTTTACATCCCAATTGCAGCCCCCCTCCTCCTGATCCCCCCTCAAATACCCACTTCCCCATAACCCCTCTCCTCCTCTGAGAATGGGGAGTCCCCCCTGGGTATCACCCTACCCTGGAACATCAAGTCACTGCCAGACTAGGTACATCCTCTCCCACTGAGGCCAGACAAGGTGGCCCAGTTAAAGGAACAGGATTCACAGGCAGGCAACAGAGTCAGGTACAGCACCCCTTCCAGTTGTTGGGGGACCAGCATGAGGACCAAGCTGCACATCTGCTACATATATGCAGGGAGGGGAAGGAGCTAGGTCCAGTCCATGCTTGTTCTTTGGTTGGTGGTTCAGTGTCTGGGAGCCCTCCCCCACCAAGGTCCAGGTTAGTTGACTCTATTGGTCTTTTTGTGGAGACCTGATCTCCTTTTTTCCCCTAACTCTTCCAAAAGACTCCCAGTCTCTGTCTAATGCTTGGCTGTGGGTCTTGTATCTGTTTCCATCGGCTGCTGGGTGGTGGTCTTAGAGGACAGTTATGCTAGGCTCCAGTCCACAGGCATAGCAGTGTATCATTCTTACTCTACTCTGGCCTTTAAAGACCTTGTGTGATATTGTCTCTAAAGCTCTAAAGCTTCATTTTCCAGCATCTCTCTAAAGGATCTCCATTTTTATGGTTCAGCCCCATACTCAGGCAAGTCCCTCTTTCTGCTGTTTGCTACCAGCCATGAGTGAGTTATCAGTCAAACTCAGCTCCCAAGGCTCCTTCTGATTCCCATCTTCACTGCTGACTGGGTTAAAATGACTCACACATTTTAAAGGTATTTTTATTTTTTTCTGAGTTATAATAGCCCCCCGTCTTGCAAGCTGGATGCTCTCTAGCTGCAGAAGCCACCATGGGGACCACTTGCTTCTCCCAGCCCTTGAATTTCTTTTCAACAGGTAGTGCCAGAGAGTTCTTGCTTCTACTTCTTTTATATTTTTCTTCCTTTTTGGATGCCTGCCTTTTGAATTAGATTGATATTGCTATAGGCAGATGGAGGAGAAAAAAAAAAAAACCTTTGCTAATTCATTATGGAATAAATGATGGGAGCCCTGGAACCTGAAGCATCTTTCTTCCGGTTTTAGAATGTTACAGTGAGAGCGAGCAGGAAGATCCTGAAACAGCCGCGGAGACACCTCCCCCTCCACACGCTTCCGCAACTTCCTCTCCTGTGGAACGTGTAGATGTGAGTAGTCTTTTGGTCACTAATCCTTTGTGTGGACGTCCCTCCTTCCAATTATACACAGACTACCTACCTTGGCTAATAAAGTTTTTAGGATGGACAAAGTTAAGGTGCCTCCCAAAGAGCAAGTCAGGCTGCTGACTCAGGGCGCTGACTTAGAGCCTTCTCCATAGCAACCCACGGGGATGACAATCTTGTTAATAACCCACAGATGGACTGGATCACACTCAGTGGATGCATGGAGATGCAAAGAGCTTTGAGTGGCAGGCCAACGCCTGCAGAGGCTCATTTGGCAGTGTGTATTAATTATACCTGACTTATTCTCAGAAGGAATGTCAAGTGCCTTGCCCAGGTGCCTGTGATCCAACGATGCAACATGAACTTTAAAGTGATATTAAATATAGAGTATGAAAAGCAAAACAATCAGCAAGCTGAGATGTCAGCTGGGATCAGCTCAGTAAGGTTGCACGTGGTCTGGTGTGGTAGTTTTCCAAAGAACAGTTCAAAGTGCATGCTAAGCGTTGGAAGTTCAGGTCTTCATGGATGCCAAGACTTTGGAGCGTTACTTCGTGTTTGGATGTATGGCTGTAGATTCTCTGCAGGGGTCACTGGGTATATAGATTTTAAAAAAAATTAATAGGTCACTAGTAATATTATTGTTTCTGGTTAATTGGTTGTACTCAGAACCTCGTGCATGCTAACATGTGCTTTCCATCTGACCTACACCGCTAGGCACATTTATAGCTTTACAGGAGCATTTAATCCTCCACCTTGAAAAACATTAGTGTTTTATTTGCATGTTACTGATTACTAGTGAGGTCAAACCCCTTCCCATGGTTAGAGCCATTTGTATTTTCTCTTGGTGTCTGTTAGATGTTTTTAGGGTTTTTTTTTGCCTCCTCTTCCTCTCCCTCATTCTCAGTGATTGATGGTATTCTCCAGTTTGTGACTATGTTGGAAATAACATGTATTTGTCATGCATGTTTGTCAGCTAAAAGGGAGCTGTTCTCACTTATCGTTTAAATACTTTTATGGCCTCTTTTAATAAATGACTGGTCTTGAGTTTTAATGTGTCAGATTTATCCATCACTTATATTGGATCTAGTGTCTGTCTTTGCTTATTTATTTATTTATTTATTTATTTATTTATTTATTTATTTATTTTCTGGTTTTAAATTGCTTCCCAACTGCCATAAGGAAGTTGATCTTATTGTTTTGGTTTCCTGATAGGGGAAAGCTTTTTGGAACTACACCATGATACCTGCCCTTGTAAAGTCCAGCACTGCACATTTAAACATGAGAAATTTGTGAGTCCTAAAAGTTAACAGACTTAGAAGATTCTCTACTTCCCCCCAATTCATCAATCAAATGTGTTTGCCTGTCTTTTTTGAGGCAGTGTCTCAAGTGGCCCAAGCTGGCCTTGAACTTTCTGTATTCCCAACAATGATTGTGAACTTTTTGTCTCTGTCCACTCCCTACCCCCCAATGATGATTACTGTAACTGCAGATGTGCACCACCATACTTGGTTTCTGTATAGTGAGTGCTAGGGATTAAACCCAAGACAAGCACACTACCAACTGAACTGCCTACCCAGCCCTTAAATGTTGTTTCTTAAGAAGTTGTAAGTCTTTTGATAGGTATTTTCTAAAGTAACAGATGATAAAATTGTCAGCTAAATGTTGTCTTTGTTAGTGTTTGGTCAACTTAATACAAGCTACTGTTATCAGAGAAGAGGATCCCCATCTAAGAAAATACACGTATCAGATTGCTTGCAGGCAATTCTGCGGGGGCATTTTGTTGGTTAGGGGAGGGCTCAGTCCACTGTGGGTGGTACCATCTCTAGGCTGATGATAGTCTAGGTGGTATAAGAAAGCACGCTGAGCAAGCCACAGAGAGCAAATCCATCAGTAGTGTTCTTTTTTGGCCTCTGCTCTGGTTTCTGCTTCTCGGGTTCTGCCTTGAGTTTCTTCTTTGGCTTCTGCTGATGGTGGATTGACTAGCCAGCCAAGCAAACTGTGCCCAAGCTGTCATTGGTCATGGTGTTGATTGCAGCAACCAAAAGAAAACTAGGACAAATGTTGGATAGTTATATGTTTTCCCCCTAGTAACAGAGTATGTACCTTATGCTCACAGATTTCTCAGGCAGATTTTGTTTTTGTTTTCTCTTGTTTCTGAAAAAAACAGACATATAAGGCACTTGATTTAAAATAACACTGGGATTTCTATTTAAACAAATGAATTGAAAGAAAAAGAAAAACCTGGGCAACTTTCATCCAGGGCATAAATCAAGTTATTGTTTCACTCAGAATGATGATAGACTAGCCATGATCAGATGTAGAAGTGTAGGGGGTCAATAAAATTTTTCCAAGGTTTTTCTTTTTAACAGTTGGGCAATGACTTTTTATTTCATGATGCTGAACTAAACATAATAAAATAACATTATTCTGGAAAGTTGTCTCAAAACCTTTCAAGGTTTGGAATAATTAATTCAATGTCTAGCTTTTCCTACCCCTAGACGGTAAAGATAATCCTAATTTTCAGTACCTGAGGGTTTGGACTTCTGGTCCTAGTAGCGAATCTCAGTGGGCTAATTCCACAAGGGAACACAGTGCATTGTGGGAGCTCAAGGGTGAGAGGAAGAGTTTTAGATTCTGTTCTTTCCAACTGAAAAGGACTCACAGGAATGACAGTGGGAGGGGATCCACTGTCTGCTTTGTGTATCTATGTGTGGGGCATGTGCATGTGAACACTAGGTTAACACCAAGTATCATTCTTCAGGAACCAACCTTGGGATTCCACATGAGAACTGAGGCTGGCTAGCCAGGAAGATCCAGAGAGTCTCCCAGTACCGGTGTTATATATGCTTGCCTGCCTCCATACAAACATTTTATGTGGGAGCTAGATTTCTGAATTATATCCTTGAGCTTGAATGGCAAGTGCCTTGTTCACGGAACAATGTTACCAGCCACAACATGACCTGATTCTTAAAGAAATGATAGTTCTCCTCCCCCCAGGCTTATTTAAAAGGCTTAAAAATAGACAGAAGTTCTTTATATTTCATTTTGAAAGATAACTTGTAGATCTCATTATTCAAATTTCTTCAATTCCTCAAAGAGTATAAAAGAAACCCATTTTTCATTTCACGTTTCCCAGTGTCCTAAGTCATTAAGTGTTTTAAGAGCTATTATTACCACTAAAGCTTTCACCATGTATTTTTTTCTTCCAAGTCTAATCTTAAAGGCACTGCCTGATAACCTGCCCTGTGATGCTGATTGATTTAAGTTGTGAATGAACCCCCTTCTTAGATCTTGGCATCCATCAATGAATGGTTCACATTCTCTGTGGGATGAAACGTGCTGTTCAAAGAGATAGATGCCAATGACCACCATGGGTGTACAATCTTCTGTGGCAGAGGTAGAGGATGGATGAGGAGTCTGGGGGAGCAGGAGCTAGAGAGTGGGCTGTGGTACCTGGTAAGAAGCATGGATGATCAAAATGGGTCCCACGCAGGTTAGATCTGAGGACAGGTAGATCAAAGAGGAACTTTAGGTCAGCTGGGTGACCCACTGAGAAGGAGTCTCCCACCAGAGGAAACAGAGATCGCATTGGCAAGAAGTGATGCCAAGATGTCTCCGGTGTGAGCACATGAATCTGAAGGAGACCAAGAGGAAGTAGCACCAGGATAACGGTAGCCTTCCTCTATGGGGCTTGTGGGCCAGCGAAGGCTTTTGATGCTCCATTCTGAGTGATTAAGGAGCACTTGAATATAAACAGAAGGGTCGTGAAGTCAGTTTGGAGCTTAAAAGGAGATGCTGGCTGGTATATGGAAGAAACCTAGTTTATCAGGGAGGGGCTTTCTGGGGCAGCACTCAGGCCCTTGGGGAAGTGAGACAGCTGAGACGTGAGAGTGCTCCAAATGTGGACCACCAAGAGTTGGGTCAGATATGAAGGGGGATAAAAATTTATAGCCCCAGCTTCAGGCAGATCCGGCAGATTATTTTAATAGAATGGTTTGGGCCTCACAGTTCGATGTTTTTCAGAAGAACAATTCCTTTATGTCTCCCAGAATATTGAAACAAGCTATCTAAAGTAGCAAGCCAAAGTAGCGGGAAGTAAAAATAAACTCTGAAAAGAGGCTCACTGGGCAGGGGTAGGAGAGGAAGTTAAAAACTGAACAAACAAGTGTAGGATAATTTTAGAAATACAGATTTCATTTAAACAGGCTATGGCTTGAATAGCTGTCTATCAAATGTCACTTGGTCAATATTCACTATACAAAATGGTATTGATGCTTGCAAGTGGTGGGTAATTGTAGGAAGACTTACCAGTAAATATAATACATAAATCTAAACCTATGATATCTATCTATCTATCTATCTATCTATCATCTATCTATCTATTCACACACACATATATACATACATATACACATACATACATACATACATACATACATAAACACACATAAAAAATAGAGGTAAAGGAAAAACCATCTTTCTACTCAGGATATAAAAGATCGTAAGCTTTATGTTTAGAAAGTGAACCAATTTTCAAACTCTGTTAAAACTTGGTATTATGTATTTTTGTCTCTTGCTTTAACAGTTCACTTTCACAGCCTGCCAGCATGGCGGCTCTCCCACTACCTCTTCCTGTCTTCTCCCACTGGCCAACTCCTACCCCCTCATTAGCTCTTGCCTGAGTCATTGAAACAACAGGCTCTTTCTTTCCCTGTTTCTAGTCTACCTTTTCTTTAAAATGACCCTCAAAAGGTGCCTTTAATAATACTGATTTGCCTAGAGCTCACCATATACAGCAGGTTGGACTTGAACTCACAGAGCTCTGCCTACCTACTCCTCCCAAGTGTTAAGATTCAAGACATATACCACCAACAATGGCCCTACTCTCTGGCCTTTTACTCAAGGCCATAGCAATTCCACATTTGCTATGACATTCTTTTCACCAATTCCTCCTTTGTCCTTAGTCCAGGAAAATGTCTGCTTTG